TTTTTTTTTTTTTTTTTTTTTTTTTTTGTGGAAACCGGCTGTCGATAAAAACGCGTCTACGCGCTCGTAAATAACAATGCACGGTTCGATTCGAGGGAGCGTGTTCGAGTTCGAGCGGCGGCAGCAGCAGCAGCAGCAGCAGCAGCATAAATAGGATCGAGACGGGACTTTGATCGGTGTCTGGAAGCGAGTCGAATCGGATGGAATCGAATGGAACTAACGTGGAAGAACGGCGAGGCGAGGCGATGCAACGGCGGTGCACGCGGTCCGTTCTTTAGTTTCGCTTGTGGTCGTGATCGTCGATGGATGGGACGCATCGCGAGCATTCCCGCTCGGCTCCACTTTTCCTTTCTCTGCCTGTTGCCCCACCGGCCACTTGGCCATTCATCTTGCTCCGGTGCTCCTAATTACACGTCTCGGGTTACGGATGAGAACGACCCGTCCCGTCGTTCGGAGACGTCCTGTGCCCTGAAAAGGGGTACCAGTACACGCTCGTGCTTTTTCCTCCCCGTCTCTTTCTCTCTTCGTTCGAACCGAAGGCCCCCCCTTATCTCCCGCTTTTTCTTCCTTGCTCTCTGTCTACGTCTTTTTTACACCGGTTGCCACTAAAGGCCCTTTGTCCGTGGCCCGGCGTGCGCGGCTATTTTATACACCGAATGTTATTCAGCTTCAGAGTTACTTGAAACTTCTCTCTCTTTCTCTTCTACTCTGTTTCTGTTGCTCTCTTTATCCGCGTGCTGTGTTTCTTTTTCGGTCTAAAGTGTTTCTGAAACGGCGATGTGGCTCGGGTCGCGCGCAGCCGGCGAACACGCGCGACGAAGACGTGGTAGCGAGAGGGTTGTGGAGGGCAGCGGTACCAAGAAAAATTGTATTAGCCCTTTGATCCCTTGGCCGGTGGAACGACTCGGAAGAGAGCGAATAAAAGCGGAGGCCGCGCGTAATGCGGCTATTTACGCATAAAGGGTAAAAAACGACGCTTTCCTCGTCGCGGCGCACCAAGACAGACAGCCGATTGCGTCGTTCGCTTTTGCAGTTACGAAGTTATCAACTTTCGTTCCTCCCATAGTCCCGCAAATATGTCGCTGCTACTGTTTTCATTTTCTTCAGAGGTCTCGAAATTGCACACGATCGAAAAGGCAAGACTGAAATATTTTTTTAGAGCTAAGAAGAAACTCGTACTTGGTCGTACTGTTATTCCATTGAACGAACAGTCCTGTTTGAACGACTGTTCCTTAGTTGTCTCTCGTCAGGGAAAATCCACGCAGGATAGCTTCTGATTCGTATTCCTACGAGTCCTCGAACAAACAAACATTCTTTAACTGATCACGTTCTTGCACGAATCTACGATCGCACGAATTTCAAAAAATTACGACGCTCGATTACAATGCAGATAGCATAACCGGGAAAGAGATGGTAATCGAGAAACGGATATCTAGCAAACGCGATAATCGTCGAGATGCAACAAACGGGAAACGGAGACAAAAACAAAGCTGGAAAGGGGAATCGTAACATTCGGTGGATATCGTCAGGACAAATGATAGCGTATCGTGGTTGATAGCGGAATTTCCGGCGACGTGTGTTTC